ACTTTTTTTTCTTCCTTCCCTCTTCCCATTTCTTTTAAATATTCTGATAACAAATGACTTCGATGTTTAATCTTTCTTTTTCTTTAAACTTTCCAAATATATTATTAACTCTTTAATCCTTATTAATTATAATTCAAATTCTTTGCTTTCTTAAATCTAATCTTTTTTTCCTTGAATATCAAATTTTAAATTTCGTATGAATCATAATTAATTCATTTCAATATTATATTTTTTAATTTCTTTTAATTAAAGAGAAAAAAAGATATTCTTTTTATTTCTCTTTTCTATAGTCCTTTTCTTCTTTCTTCTTTCTTTTTTCTGCGTATTTCTTTACATTTACTAATACATTTACATTACAATACAATTACCGACACTTTTCTCGTATTACCGTTAGACACCCGATACTTTTTCACGCCGTTAAGCCGATAATCTCGCTATGAGAATGGCCACAGTCCGATTCCCTCTACCCGGGAGCAAAAGCCGGTGAGAGAAACTTCGTTATGACCCTTCCCGTTTATTCTCCGCCAGCACGTCCTTCAAAATTTGAGTCCGGCCCGGGGGAAGCCCCCTGGACCGGAGAGAGTGATCTCCTGGATGAAAAACCTCCCGGACCAGAGAGTGCGACCGTCCCAGGTCCCTGTGGAAGAAAGACAACCGAGGGTCATTTCCTCGTGGCAAGTTATGAAGTTGTCCGTCGCTCGCGAAAAAAAAACTTCAGTCGAGACGGCGAGTGTCTCGAACTTGAATCTTTCGGCGTGCGGAAAAAGCAGCGTTCCAACTTACTACATCCCCTCTCATGAAAATTTCTAATTTTTAGCTATCTAAGGTACTCGAGAATACTTTTCGTGAGTTTTTTTTTTTAATTTTGATTTTCTTTTATACTATCGCATCGTATTCCGTCGTTCGATCGTCGGAAAGAGCATTGTTATTTAAATAAAGAAAAAATTAAATTCCATGTAAGAATCGAACCGCGGACCATTGACGCGTCGTTTGCCAGTCGCTTATTCGTATACCCGTTATCGCGACTTCGTTCTAGTTTCGAATTTAATTAAAAATTCGATATCTCTTATTTCGATATCTCTCTTTTAACAAATTTTACTTCCGTTTTATTTCATTTACACTACCGTACCAATTTTCTCGAATCATAATTAACATCTTAGCGATATTTTCAAGCATTGTATTAATCTATTTACTCTTCCATCGAAATTTTATTATATTTTTGATTAGAGAAAATCAGGAAAAAAAAATGAAAAAAAATCTTTGAAAATCGTTCGAAATGTACCGAAAATTGAATGAAAATCAATATTACGAACAAATATTCAAATATTGAAGAAAAAATTATGGTATTATCGTTAAAATATATATATTATATTATTATTATTATTATATATATTATTATTATTATTATCTATATTATCGTTAAAACTATTAATGCGCAGCAAAAAATAAAAAAAAGAAAACACCGATTTATAATTTATAAATGACGATTTATAAATTAATAGAATGAAATAAAAATTAATATTTTTACGAATATTATAGGGAACGTGAATCGTGATGTCGCGTCGATTGTTATTGTACGCGTATCGATTAAACGTAGTCGTTTTTCGAATACAGAGCGAGACGCGCGTATTCCTTCGATTGTTATTGTACGCGAATCGATTAAACGCAGTCGTTTTCCGAATACGAAATGAAATAGACGTATTTCTTTCCGCTCTCCGAATAAAGATTTTATCGCTATATAATATAATGGGATATTAAGATGTAAATGATTGTTAAATAAATAAGATATTGAAGTGTAAAAATATGATTATAACTTAATTATAAGAAAAAAATATTATTGCATTTAATTGAATATTGCGAATTGTAACTATATGGCGATATTATTGTAACGAATTGTTTCGTTTGTTTATTTATTCTCTTATTCGCGATCTTTTCGCTTTTTCATAAAAACGTAATATATATTTGTTCGTACTCTATAATTGGTAGACGTTCTTATCTCTATGACGATTAAGGATTGATTGTTTACCCTTACGCCTGTTTTTCGCTACGCGTCCAGTATCCAGTATTGATTCGAATTAATATCCGATCGCGATTTGCGAGTGATTATTTGTTTATTGTGATTTAATTAAATTGATTGTTTTTTAATTTTTATTTATTAAAACTCGTTCTTGGTAGAATTTTATTTATTTAATGTATGATGAATGATGATAAGTGAAATAAATAATAAATAGCGAAATTTAACGTTGAAAAAATATTCGAACGTTCGACCAATTTATATCGAAAATCTGTTTAAATAACAATTTTTTACAAAAATTAAGTATTAATTGTAATTTCGTTTAATATTTTTTTCTTTTGTGCAACGTTTTGAAAAATATATTAAAAAATTAAACTTTTGTTGATAATGGATGTTTTATTCGTATTTTACGTAAATTTATAATTTTTCTTTATTATACGCTATTATTTTTTATTCGACGAGTCGAATTTATTGTATCGAAATAGTCGAATGCATAATATTCGTCTATCTCGTTGAGAATGTTTCGATTATGCGTTATCATGGCGCTCCCAGTGATTCGATTTCAACTTAATGATCCTGAATCTCGTTGAGATGATTGTGACTCGTTGATGAGAAGTGAGTGTCGTTGATGTTACGAAAAGTGAATCTGTTTGCTCCTTGATCTTGTTTTCGCGATAGTTGAATTTATTCTGTCTTCGCGTTTACTCGTTTCGTTTGCTTGCTTCGTTATTTCATCCTCGATTGGTGATCGTTTTTTTGGAAAACCGATCGAGCGACGCGTTGACGATTATGTCCGTTCCTTCCGCGTTAAATGCTCCTAAGGGATGGGATAATGCCCGGAAGATCTCGAAATCGTTTTTTTGGGTAAGGGTCATGGTCGAGAGGACAGTGACAAATTGCCTCGGAATTATCCTTCGGAACGCTTGATTTATAACGTCTACGGCTATTGAGTGTAGAAACGGAGAAATCTTGAGACATCTGGTTCATTGTCGAAGATCTTGAGAAAACTTTCGCTCGAAAATAATCCCGTGCGTTCGTGTTATTGTAAATTAATCCTTGTGTTTTGTCCACCAAGGTCGAGTGACCTGGTGTACCGTTGCGACGTAACGATTTTAATTATCGATCTATTTTAATTTCTTGAATCGTTAACGAATAGTATCTTTCGATTTAGACCTTTCCGTGTTAACTTGCGTGAATTACAACGATTTAATTTTATTCATTAATCTTAATTCCATTACGGTTTTTCGTTTATGAATTCTCGGATTTAACCGGTTCTAAATTGCTTCGACAATTGTTTAACGTATTGATGCATGTATATTTCTTCGTTAATTATTATTCGCAGAATTGGAATTTTGGCTTTATATTCGTGATGTCTAATATTTTTTTTTTTTTTTTTTTTATATCTTTTTGCGATTATAAAATTTATTCGAGTAAAGAAAATATTATTATATTATCCGATATTATGCGTAAAATTAAATTATATGATTGCTTCGATTATATGACATATGTTCGATTGTTTATGTCGAAATACCGTTTATATATCGGAAAATTCTTTATATTTCGTGAAGCGCGATATATAATTGCGCGGAACTACAACTTTCTTATAATTGGATATAATTGGAATTTAATTGGATTGCTAGGATTGATTAGCGAATCCAATTCGACGAAAGATCTATTAGTTATCTTTTACTATTTTTCTCTTTTTGTAATGCGTAATTTTTCTTTAAATCGCGTTCCTTCGTTTTCTTTATCGTGATAAATTTAATTTGATGTAAAAGAAAGAAAAAAAAAAAATTAAAAATAAATACAAAAAAATTTAAGTTCGAACTCACGGTTTTTCTTATCTGCGTTGCGAGTGCTTGGAAATGTCTCTCGATTTATTTCCAACGATATAGAAAATCTTATCTATCTTAATAATAAATTAATAAATTGGATTTTTTTTTTTTTTTTTTTACAAATTTCGTCTTAAGTACTTCGTATTTTTTTTTTTTTATTTCTATTCGATGAATTATTATCAACTTGTATGATACATCGAAAAGTAAAAAAGAAAGGGAAAAAGAAATTATAGAAAGAATATAATAGGTTAATTCTATATCTTTCGTTTTCGTATTCGTGCGTACTTATATAACTTGTAAAAGAATGTTATCGTTTGAAAACATGTTTTTTTATTCGACGATTGCATAGTTTCTAATGCGATGTATATTAGAAACGTTTATTATTAATAAACTATGATCGATCTACGGAAAAATAATTTCTTAAAAAGATAAAAAAAACAGTTTTTCGCGTACAACTCATATTATCGTCTAAATCCATGATAAATGTGTGTGTGTGTGTGTGTGTGTGTGTGTGTGTGTGTGTGTGTGTAATATATTATACTTATCATGAAGAATAAATTTAATCAATGCGGATATTTCTATTATTTCAAAATTAAAAGATACATCTTATAAAAAAAAATAAATGTGCCTTTAGATATTTTTATTTAAATTGTTTCGTTTAAGACATTGAATTAAGGTTAGTAAATAAATGTTAGATTAATCTTATTTTTCTTTCTTAGCTAGATTACATTTTCGTTAAATTGTATTATGAATCCGGTTTAGATTAAATTTGTATTAGATTCTTCTTTCGATTGGATTTCCTTGAACGAATGAAATTAAATTAATATTTCGTTTAACAGGTTAGGTTAGATCTACCTAAGCAGAGTACGATTTAATTCGATTAAATAAAAATTGAGAATTAAATATCCGATTAAATCTAATTAAATAACGTTTGGTTTTTCGATTATGTTTTGTTAAATCCAAAATCGAATCGCGAATTTGGTTTGCATCTGGTTACTTGAATTCGGATCGTCTTTCGTTCCGTAATTTTGTTAGCCAGTTTTTTCTTTCGATTTAATTAAGCATTTAATTATAAGTAAAATTTAATTTAAGATTTAATTCATCGATGTTCTAACGTGTTCTACGTAATGATAACGAAACATCGCGAAACATCCTTTGTAATAACTTTATTCAACGTCTTATATTACAATAACATTTGATACCTTAGATAGATGCTAATGTTATGAAAGGATTTGATTATTTTATTCGTAAAGGTGCGTTACATACATAATCGAATGTTACAATTTTACTAATATTTCGTAACTAGATATTGCTACGTTTAACGTTTCATGACGTGATAAAATGCCCGTAATTTTATAGTTTAAAAAAAAAAAAAAAAAAAAAAAAAATTCTCGTAAAATTTAGAAAGCGAAAGAGAATATCGATAGCGTCGATATATTGTGTGACGTATAATAATATAATATTATGATTCGTTTCGTTCTTTTCTGTACTATTTGATTTGAATTTTTTACGATGAATAATATATGATAATCTTATGGATGTGTTTATGAGATATTAGAATTGGAGTTGTTATACTAATATAAATATAAACGGTGAACGGAACGATGGACTTCTGGTGATTCGAATACAACATCGACGGTATCATTGCTATTATTGCTGAACCGGTGGAGCCATTGGAAGACTCGAAGCGCTTACGCCTGACATGGCTTTACTAGGACCTAATAAAACCTGTTTTTGTTGAGTGCGTTGTGCTTCCTCCATTTGCACTCGTTCTATTTCGAACAATATAGGTGCAAATAAAATGGCTGATGAACTGAAGAATAACCATGCTGCTGAACATGAAAATGCGTATAACCCTACGAAAGATGTTGTATTGTTATATATTGTTTATATCTTGACATTGAATGCGTAGAATTGATAAATACATACCTTTCATACAATTGCATAAACAAGTACCGACGTTATATCCCAAATTACGTACTTCTTCCGGAAACATTTCCGTAAGTCCCAATAATCTTTCTGCCAAGCTTTCATCCTAAAAACAAACTCGAATGTAAATATATCCTATTTTCTACGATCAAGTTGAATTTTTTCTTTCGTTTAATTGTAAAATTCGCGAATATCCTATTTAAATTTCTTTTCTTCGAATGAATATCGATGAGAAATGTGATACGTTGAAAACGCGTAATACGATGTGAAAAATACGATTTGTAAGTAAAGAAATATTGGTTAATTTACGGATTAATCGTAATTAAAAGTCTTTAAAAGTAACGATTCTCGATAATACGAATTTTGGTTATTTATGACGTTGATATGTAATCGTATGTATCGAAATGGAATACCTCTTCGTCATCCTCGTCATCGGGAAAAAGCGATTTCACCTCGGGAGAATGTGCGTCGCTACTACCCATGCCGCTGTCCGCCGATTGATCTACTTCTTCGACTGAAGTCATATAAGAAAACAACTGATGATTGATAAACGAATGAACGAATATATTTTATTTTCACGAATCAAGTTTTAAAATTCACCTTCGTCTACTCTAGACATCGTATGTTGAGATAAATATTATATGTACAGCAATTCACACCGGTGTAAAGTAGATGCGGAACAACTTTGCTATGGTCGCGGAAGTTTCTAAATTGTATTTGCGATGCTACGTATTGGTACGAATGTTTTATAAAAATCCCTATACAGTACGATATAAATCCCCAAAGTATAAATTTCTAAATATTCGAAAAATATTTACGCTGTGTTTCGAAGAAACGAGAAAAAAAAAACGAGAAAGGGAACGAAGTTATACATGGAAAAGAATCGTACGTTTTTTAAATATACGTTTAATATATACGTTTTTTAGTAATATCTCTCTCTCTCTCTCTCTCTCTTTCTCTCTCATCCTCTTTCTACACGCTATTGGTCAAACTGGATTGAATTCGTTAAGTGTCGTTGGCACCTTTTGATAGTACTTTGAATAAATCTTTAATATCATTTTTTAACGTCGCATTTGTATCTTGTGATTCGATTTATATACAAACTGTGTTCGTACTATTTAATATTTAATAGTAATATTCTTTGAGATAATTAAAAAATTTGTTTAATATTGAAATTAAATACGACGGACATCCGTTGTATTTATATACATTGAAGGTTATTCGCGAGGAATTGTTTTTTTTCGTCTATTTAAACTTTAAAATTCGATGTAAGTTTTTGAAAAAACATTCGATGACCGATGAAAGACGAAAATTTATTTTTTTTATTTTTGATAATTCCATGATTATTTCATTTTCTCGTAATGTTCGATCGCAACGGACGATATAATTTGTCTTTGCTTCTACGTATTTTTACGTATTATTTAACGTGTTATAGATCTATAATCTACAAATATAACCGTACGATTTATAAAATCTGATCTATGTATGATTTATAAAATCATAAAAAGAAGATTTTCTCGAGCTTGAACGAAATGGCGAATACAGGAGTGCTGCCGTTTGTACGTGGGGTCGATTTTAGCAGCAATGATTTTAGTGTAAATATCATTTTTTTCTTCTCCTTTTTAACGATATAATTTTCGATTGTTACAATTTTGTTACAATTTTACAGGAGGGAAAATTTCCAGAATCTGTACGTTTAATGACTGGCATACAATGGCTAAAATTGGATGAAACCAACTTGACTGAGATTCCGGAAGAAATGGGCAAATTGTTGAAGCTGGTAAAGCTGTCTGCGTATGGACATTTATTTTTTAAGCGTGCGCGAAATTCAGGATGAAGCTATTGTGATTGAGGTTCTTATTAATGGTTCTACGTAACGTGAGTGATGAAAATTAAATTATTTTCTTTTTTCGAATAGGAACATCTTTCGTTGGTTAAGAACAAGTTGGAACGCTTGTATGGGGAATTGACGGAACTTTGTTGTCTTCGTACTTTGAATATAAGGCGCAACAACATTAAATCGAGTGGCATCCCGGCGGAATTGTTTCATTTGGAAGAATTGACTACGTTGGATTTAAGTCATAATAATTTGAAAGAAGTGCCGGAAGGATTGGAGAGAGCTCGTTCTTTGTTAAATCTGAATTTAAGTTACAACCAGTGAGTATTGAGTATGTAACTTGTAAAAAAAAAAAAAAAACATGCCGATTTGATGTTTCTGATCTTATTCCGATTCTTTCAGCATTGACA